ACAAGTTTAGCAAGCAAAAAAGTAGAATGTGATCAAACACCAGATGATCAGTCTAGTGCTACACAGAGCTTAAGACTATCTGTATTAGTCAGCTTTATGTCTTATGAGTAAATACCTGACAGTAACAACTTATTAGAGGAGAAATTTATTTTGGCTCACAGTTTCAAAGGTACACACACACACAAACACAAACACACACACACACATACATGTACATGTGATCACATTTGTACATACAAGTACATATACACATGTGTATCAGTACATAAAAATATATATATTCTGTGCCCAGTTGATTTCTCTCTCCCTCTCTCTCTCTCTGTCTGTCTCTCTTTTTCAAGTTCCACATGTAAGTGATATCCTATGGCCCCTATCCTTCCATTCCTTGCTGATTTCACTGCACATGATAACTTCCAGTTCTACCTATATGGTTTCAAATGACAGAATATCATTCTCACTTCATTTTTTAGTTGAATGATACTTAGATTATTTCCATTTCTTGGCACTGTGAGTAGTACGACAATGAACATAGGAGTGTGCATGTTTGTCATCTTTCAACTACTGATTTTACTTCTTCTAGACATTTACCCAGTAATGGAATTACTGGATCATATGCTAGTTCTGTTTCTAGTTTTTCTTCCATACTGTTTTCCATCATGGCTGTACTAAGTTACTTTCATACCAACAGTGTGCAAGTTTTCCCTTTTCTCAAAACCCTCACCAGCACTTAATCTTTTGCCTCTTTGATGACAGTCATTCTTACTAGGGTCAGCAGATATCTCCTTATCTATGTGATTTATATTTCCTGTAGGATTACTGATTTGAACATTTTTCATGTACTTGTTTCTCATTGTATAATATCTTTTGAGAAATGCCTTTTTAGGTATATTGCCTTTTAAAACACAGGGTTATTTGTGTTCTCACTACTGAATCTTTAAAGGTCTTCATAAATTCTGTGTATCAGTCATGTCAGAAATGTAATTGTCAAAGAGTTTACCCCATTTTTAGGTTGTCTCTGTGCTCGCTTGATTATTTCCTTTGCTTTGCAGAATTTAATTTGATACAATTCTGTTCACCTATTTTGTTTTTATTTCCTAAAGCCTTGCCAGTGCTTTTGAGTCTTGTAAAAAAAAAAAAATCCTTCCCAATTTCTTTTTCACTCCTGAGGGTTAATTTTATCAAATATAGAACTTTAGATTGGTGGGGGTGGATTCAACAGCATTTTGTAGCTGGGACAAAATACATGGCATGCACAATTTAAGGGGCAAAGGGTTTATTTTGGTTTACAGTTTTAATCCATGACCATCTGGTCCCAAGTCAGAAATAGTATGGCAGAGGAAATAGGGGAATAGAAAGATATCAGAACAAAGTAAGATCAAAGTCCATAAGAGCAAATATTAAATCATATAGCTCCATGTCCAGCATCTAGTGTACATGTTTGAGAGAGGTGAGCTCCAAAAGGCTCAGATGGTCCAGTCCCTGTGATGTTGTGGGTTGCAGCCAAGTGATCTCTCTCTCAGGCTGATTGTGCTCACTGCCTGCAGTTTTCTACAGTTCGTGCCATCTTCACTTCTTAGGGTCTCCAGTGTAGCTTTGGCACCATGCAGTTTCCTGCACCACCATTTCTGGGCTCCTTGCAGGGAATGTGACCTGTCACACATTATCTGACCTCTCAGGAGTTCCTTTCAAATCTGGGTGGAAAATTGTAAACTCACAGCTTTTTCATTCTGCGTGAATACAAAGCCAGCATCACGTGGATGACGCCAAGGTGTGCCACCAATTCAAGCAGTAGCCAGTCTCCTTTGGACCATAGCAGTAGTGAACACTAATTGCTTAGATGGCTGAATTTAGGGTAAACACTCTCTAGGCAGACCTGAGTGGGCAAGGGACCCTGGGGTTCTTTTCTCAAAGCCAAGTCTTTCTTTCAAAGGAGTTTATGATTTCCTACTCCTGAGGCTGTGGTGAATGGGATGTGGCCAGTTGTTAAGATGTCCTCGAACTATCTTTCTTATTAAACTAGTCCAAAGCTCTTGACTTCTTCTTAAGGCCCTCACCTCTCTAACAACCATACCTTTCTTGGTCCTAGCTTTACCTATGCTTCTTTTGTGGACAAACTAAAAGCATTTCCAAATCTTTCCTCTCTGCTTTATGCCCCTGATTCTCAATGTAAATCTAGCTAAAAGCAGTCATCAATATCCATACCACACCTTGAATTCTGGGCTGTCTTGACATTTCATTTATCAGATAAACTAGACAATTACCTTTAAACAGAGCTTCTCACAAAATCTTAGGACGTAAACAAAATGTCAGAAAATTATTTGCCAGAATATAACATGAATGGCCTTTGTCCAATTCCCAATAGAGTCTCCATGCTCATCTGAAAGAGCCAAAGAAAGGGATTTGGAAAAGTGTGAATAATTCTAAGCTATATCTTCTGTGATATACTTCCTCCAAGTGGGCCATTCTGCTCTGAAATCATCAATGTATTCTACTGTTAATAAGATCATGGTCCAATTACCTCTTTAGACCCTATCCTTGAACATTACTACCTTGGTAATCACACCCTCCATATGTAAGTCTCTGCTAGACACTTCATATATAAACCATGATGATGGGTTTTATTTTCAATATTCTAAACAGTTCTAACAACTCTCTGCTTGTTTTCATGTTTTCTGAAAAATTATTCTCTGTATTTCTCCTCTTTAATTCTCTTTAGGTAAGATATTTTTCCTTCATTTTTTCCAAGATAATCTCTTTCTCTTTGATTTCTAAGGTGTGAATGCAGTGTGCTAGGTAGTGTGCCTTATTTCATTTTCTACTTACTTTAAGATTTATTCTACTTTGTATTCTCTGAAATTCCTGAATCTATGCTTTGGTCTTACTGTGACTCAAACATTTTGTTCTGCTTCATTCTCTTTTGACTTCTTGGTATTTACATCTCTTGAAATTACACCATAGTTTTTGCATGATTTATTTTGTTCTGGGTGCCTTGTATTTGTTTGTTAATTTTCCTGCATTTCAGTTTGTGAAGTTTTTATGAACCATTTTTTCAACTCTGCTTTCTAACTTACTGATAAGCATATCATAGATCTTATTCATTTCTGTTACAATTTTTTTATTGCTAACATTTCCTTTCACTTATTTGTTAGTGTTTTGTGTCTACGTCCGTACTTATCTATGTATTCTTATATGCTATCCATTTCTCCCTTACTTTTCTTAACTTATTTAAGTTTAGTTATTGCAAATTTCCTGCCTACTAATCCCACCATCTGAGCCATGTCTGCGACTATTTCTGATGCTTTTTCTCTCCAGTCTGTGTTTTTGCTAAAAATAGAATTAGTATATGATCCATCTTTGCTACTTGTTACTTTACCATTCATTGATATATACCTGAAGGAATTAAAGTCAGTATATTATGAAGATTCGTGTTTAAAGTGGCCCAATTAACAATAGCCAAGTTATAGCATTAGCCTAGGTGTCCATCAGTGGATAAACTGAGGTACAGTTGAGACCACCAAGACAAGCAGAGTTTAAGCAATGTGTGAGGACTTTATTTGCAGGCTGGGTGCAGCCAGGCCAAGGGAGAAAAGAACACTGGCCCTGAGCAAGGGGGCAAGGGCATGTTTTTCCAGGGAAGTATAGGTAGAGCAGAGAGGCATTGCCAAAGGTTGTACAAAATTTGGGGTCTCTGAGTAGGAGATCTAGGGCTAAGTGATAGACAGGGCAGTACTGGGTACAGGGGGTGCTGGTAGGCACAGCATGTCTCATGTTTTTTCACAGAATCAGCTCTCTGCAGGTTAAACTGTGTGGGGCAGGGACCAGCTTCCTGTTGAATGCTGTGCTCCCGCAGATGTGAATAACAGATCTGCATGGTTAGTTTTTCTCTCCTAGCTGGGTGGGAGTCTAGTTTATATGTCATAAAGATTGAAATCATGGGGCTGGGGATTTAGCTCAGTGGCAAAGCGCCTGCCTGGCAAGCGCAAGGTCGTGAGTTCAGTTCCCGGTACTGGAGAAAAACCAAAAAAAAAAAAAAAAAAAGATTGAAATCATGTCTTTTGTAAGAAAATGGATTGAACTGGAGATCACCAAGTTAAATGAAATAATACAGACGCAGAGTGGCAAGAATCTCATGTTTTCTCTCACATGCACAATAGAGGAGGAAAGTAGAAGGGAAATTGTTAAAAAAAAAAAAAAAAGGAAGGAGATCAAGGGGAGAAGAAAGAGGTTCAAGAAAGATAACAGCGGTTTATATGATCAAAGACTTATATAATGTCTAAAAACACCATAGTGCAATAGATTACTCATTATAATCACAATTCCCTAATAAAAATCAGTGTGTATTTTCTTGCCTTATGATTTTTCATAGGAAACTAGAGATATTTAATGGATTAAGGAAATGAGGTAAATGTATAGAAACCTTGCTGGGACTCAGGCTCTGTTCAGTGCTTCTTGAAGTTGTTACATTCCAGAGGCTTCAAATTACACAGGTATGATTTTTGTCTTCTCTTGATTTAAGAGCTTCCCTAGTATTCCTATTTGGAGAAACTATCTTGAAGCTCTTTCAGCTGAAATCTATTATTACACTGGGCCCTCCTAACATGGTGGTGAGATATTGTAAAAGAAAATTATTCTGAGGTCTTATGATTACATTTTAATCTTTCATGAGCTTGTGTTCCTAGGATATGACCTTCACAAAGATTGATCCAGTACCATAATTTCTCCCCTTTCTGACTAACTCAGGGAAGATAGGATTAGAGGATGCTGGAGAGAGAGGGATGCCCTTCCCTAGGTGTGGTTAATATCTGGTAAGTGTTTCTGGACAACAGCCTTTTGTTATACTAAATATATTTCATGATGATTACTTTTCCCCCTCCCCTATCACAGCTATAATGGGTCTTTTCTCAGATCTTACCATGAAAATGTGGTAGAGTTTCTAGAGGTAAAAACCCACAGAACTGTCAAAAATCTTCCTCAAAATTGGGTATCTAAGAGTTTTTCATTCTTCCAGTAGTGGGCACTCAGATTCCAGAAACTTATCAGAGCTATTATGAAAGCCAAACATCATTTGGCTGTAGTGTCTTCTGTTCCAGGTAAGCATACATCAGGTGGTAACTTCTACATTCATCTATTTCTCTGGATAACAGGGTGAGAGCTTGCCTTCAGCCTCAGTTCTCTTGAGGGCTTAAGAATGTCAATGCTTGTATTTTGTTAAACTTTTTCCTATTGTAAAGACAGAAATGATGACAGGAGTAGTCACATTAAACCAGATGACTGTATATTATTTTTACTAATGTAAAAGTAAGTTAAGAAAAACATTTTATCTGTAACCAGTGGCTTAACAAAATCTATAGACTCAATATTAACTGCTCTTGAGGGAAAAAAGGGTATTTTTTAAAGTGCATTCCTATGAGCAGGTGTATTATTTTCTATGCCTTATATAATTACCCAGATCAGAATCTATATAAATGTTTTTTGTTGCACCATTTGTGGAACATGATGTTGAGCTGAAAATAGGTTCAAGTCATACTTTTGCCACCCACCAGCTGGGCCAAGCCACTTAACCTTTTAGCTCTATCATTTGTCACCTTAGGGTAATATTTATATCAAAGAATGTTATGAGAATCCAGTGATATAATTTACATAAAAAGCACTGTGTAAATGTCAGGCTTTTACTCATATGCAAACAATACATTGGTCAGAAGTCTTTTATAATTAGCGAAGAACACATACATGATCCAGGCTCCCAGAGCTGTGAGAAATTCACCTTATCAAAATAAAAATGCTTCCTATTTTTCCAACAATTCATGCCAAGATAGTAATATGGCATTCTTTACAGACTGCCTTTTAGCCCCTCTCTGGCTAGAATTCTCTTTCAGGGAGCTATGACAAATTCATCTTATCGGAAATGAAAATGCTATTAGTTTTCCCAACAAATCATTCCAAGATACTAATGTAACATTTTTTATAGACTGTCTTTTGGCTTTTCTTGGTATGGAATTTCCCTTCATGAATCCAAAGGCAGTTATTTTCCAAGCACCCAACTATTCTGTCTATCACGTAAAGAAAATGAGAGAGAAAAAATAAAGATATTGTGTGTGCTGAAAATGAATCACTGGGATCTTCACCAAATCTCACAGCAGGCACAGTGCAAAGGTAAAAGATGATAGACCTGGAGGACTTCATAACCCGCCCTTCCTGACACATTCCTCAACAGCAGAGACAAGCCCCTACCATCTCTCCAAATGCTTCCTAACTGTCGCCAAAAAGAGAAGAGCCTGTCTGGGAGCCTCCAGTTCCAATTCTTCACGCACCATATGCCGAGCCTTCCAAGGCAACTAGACGTTAGGAAGTTCCAAGTTCATTAGGAAGTCATCAACATATCACTAATTGTGTGGAAAGTTTGGTGATGCAAAAGGAGTTGCATGATCATGTGAACATCAGCGACATCTTACAGACAGAAATATCGAGACGTTAAAAAGCGACTGCTTGTCTAATTTCTCAGCTCCCAAACTGGCTGCACATCAACTAAAGAGCTTCATAAAAGCCCTCATTCTAAAGGTGCAGGGTTTAGTGAAAAAAAAAAAAAAAAAAAAAAAAAAACTTACTTTTACATTATCCTTATGTGTTCTTCACAACACTCAATGTCATACACTTCAGTCCTGCTTGTGTGAAGTTTATTCTTTTCCATGCAGAGAAAGTCAACCCCTTAGTATCTGCTCAGTTTGCTCTGCTCCACACTAGTTTCCCAGGGTTTGAAAACAGAAGAACTCCTCCTTATTTCCCTTTGATTTTATAATTAATGTGTAATAAATGAAGTCTCCAAGTGTTTTACGGCACTCCAATTTTCCATTCCCCTCTGACATTTGGAGAGAAAATGGAACACACAGCAAGACCTTTGAACAAAAAGTAATACCCGTTAAATTGAAACACAATGCAAGGTTCTCCTAACTATGATTTCATAGTACGTGTGTTTATGTAGAGTGGTGTGCTTGTTCCCTGCAGCAAAACCAGATGTTCTCTTTTTCCAGTTGGTCGACGTTGCCATGAGGTAGAAGGACAATGTCTGAATTCAAAAAAGAGAATTAAACAGTCATTGTCATAATTCTATCTCCTGATGTCCCATTACAATGATAATAAGTGAAAATGCAACATATTTTAGATTCCTCTTTTTTTAAATTAGTACATGTTTGCACTACATAATGCTTTTATTCTTTGTGGAGAGGTGGTAGACTCCAGCAAAAACCTATAAAAAATAATTATATTTGTAAAATGAGCCTTGAGGTTGAATACCAACTTTGCTACTTCCCTGCTGTGTGACCTTAGATAAAAGAGTAACAATTACATAGCAGAACTGTGACACTGAAATAAAGTAATGTATATACAGACATTACCCAGGAACTTGCCGAAGGAAAAAAAAAATGTAAAATAGTTATTATAATATCATGTTTAAATGTATTGCTTAAGATTTATGTGTAAGTTGGTTTGAGTCTGCTGGATTGCCAGAATATAACACCACAGCTTGGGGGTCAAAACAACAGAAAATGTTTTCTCATAATGGAGAGGTTGGGAGTCCAAAGTCAACAAGTCAGTAGGTGTAGTTTCTCCTCAAGCTGCTTCTCCTGGCTTGTAGATAGACAGGCACTGTCTCACTGTATCTTCACCTTGCCTGTCCTCTGTTTATAAGCACCTCCGGTGTCTTTATCCTTATAATGCAGTTAGGTGTGGAAACCTACTCTTATGCATTCCTTGAACCTTAATTGTCTCCTTGTTGGCTCCATCTTCATACGCAGTCATGTTGAGTGTAAGGACATTAGCCCAAGAATGTTAGGAAGAAATAATTCAGTCCATAACAAAGATGTTATAGACAACCCAAGACATGATATTATGCACAAGGCTTTAAAGTTTTAAGAACACAAAAGTTCATGTAGCTTTCTAAGAAAGTCACTGGAAAATACCAAACATAGTTTATGTCTGAACAATAGTAAATCAGTTTTTGCCCTTATTTCTGCAAAGTAAACATTTTAGCTTCAAAGACACTTTGATATTTTTTTGGTTGGATCTGATGTGAACCATCTTAGAAATAGCTGAATTCACTATACATTCTCCTATTTGATGTCGTATGTCAATTATACACTTCTATTTTTTAATGTCTTACCAGTAGACTAAGAACTGAAGGGCTGAGAAAAAAATCAATGATAAGTTCAGATACAGATAAAATGTTAACAGAATTACTAAACACAAATTTGTAGTTATCTGGTGATTCTTCTAAGTCACTACCACAATTACTCATACTCCACAAGTGAAAAAATAACTATTTCCTTCAGAGCATATGTATAATTAATGTGAAGTCTTTCAGATATAGATATAGAAACAGACATAGACACAGATGTCCACATCACTCTATTCTCATCTTTCTCTAATATATAGTACTTACCACTGCTATATTGAGCATCCTACAAAATCATTTTGTTCATTCATTCTTGCCTACAAAAAAACCAAGAATCTATATTGGGGTTTTCTTTTATTTTTCTATTCAACTTTTCTCAAATTTCACAACATGGCTTCTGAAATCTCCCCAAATGTTGCCAGATCACCCAAATAATTTTTATTTGCCCATTCCGGTTCCCCCATCCAATTACCAGAAAAGAATAGATTCTCAGGCATGCTCTACAGAAAGCAAATTTTCAAGCACCAAGCTCCTGCCTGCTGAAGTACGTTGTCTTTCTTCTCTTTATATCATTGGCACACTCATCATCTTTTGACTATGTGTTTTCTTATATTGGGTAAGTGGGTGATAACCACTTACTGACAAATTACTTGAGGCTGTCACTCTATAAGAATCTCACTTAGTAAGAGTTCTCCATATCACTTAAAAGGTACAATGAGCCTTTAAACAAAGTATTCCATTATTATTTTTGTTTAACATTTTAAGCCAATATTTTACCCATTTTTTTATAACCTATCTACCTCTTACTTCTAAAGCTGCAAACAAGCTACCGATGATAGAAATTTACTGTTAGGCAGTGTTCTTAAATTCTTACTTTGTGACAGAAATTGGATTAACGTTGTACATACATGACTTCCCATGAGCCTCTAAAAATCTTTGAGGGAAATTAGTTTCTCCACTAACCCAAAGTAGCAGAGTAAGTAAACCATGAAGTCAGGATGCAAATACCAACCAGAGTCCCACATTTATTGCCTATGTTTTGGTGCCTTTCACCAAAGAAAGATCTTGCAAGATGTTTCTTCTTTACACTTCTCCAAGGAGAGAAATCGATAGGCAGAGATATACTTAAAAATTCTTTCTCCCTAGACACACATAACTTTGAGGAAAAGAGAAAGAATCCTATTTAATTAAGTCAACCGAGTATACTCTAAATTGGAAGAGATACAAAGAGATCACTTATATTGGGTCCCCCACAACCAGATAAAAGCATATCTTAAACATCCAAGATTAATTATTGATCACTTTGAGACTATCAGGAGAGCCACTAAAATACTGATACACAGTCCTTCATGTCCCTGAATGTGTCAGTATAGAATGGCTGCAGCTTTCTGGTTATTTTTGCAGAAATCTTTACCATGTCTTCAATTAAAGGAGACATGTAGGTGTGTGGAACGCTTTACTATTTGTGTCTCTTTTTAAATCCAGCTGAACATGTTTCGAGGCATTAATTATAGACTGCTTCAATCTGCCCTGGTGGGAGGAAAAGATTAAAAACTGCATGTGTTTTACTGAAAGCGAGGGGAGGTACTTTCAAAAAGACACAAAGTTTATTCTTCAAGAAAGACCCAGAGGGAGAAAAGAAGATTTTTTTAAAATACATCTGAGACCAAAAGGCTTCCCTTTGCCTGAGTTTTCATTGAAGCATGGTATGGTTAGATGTGATTAGAGAATCCCTGATTCCACAAATGAATTTTAACCTTGTTGGCCAAGTAGACTAGAATACATATTTGCTAGTTGATCTTGGGTGTGGATCATCTCACTGCCTGCATTTTGATTCAAAAGATGCAGGATAAGATATCTCCTCCTTGGGATGAGTTGAAGTTGAAGAGATAATATATTCTGAATATTGAGACTCTTTAGTAATATTTTAAGGAGATATTAGCTGCTAGAAAACTGAAATAGAATTGTAAGAAGTAGAAATAATTCTGTACAGATTTGTGGGGTGTGTGTGTATCTGGGTCTGTGTGTGCATGTATATCAGCCTGTGTGCCTGTGTATGTGGATATGTCTGTGTCTACATGTATGTATGTGTGTGCATATGTATGTGTGTGTGCATATATGAATGTGTGTGTACATGTGTTTGTGTGTGTGTGTGTGTGTTGGCTTGGCTCAATGTTTGTTTCTCTGAGAACTGACTACAAATTGTAAGGAGGAAAAATAAAGTCAACCAAGGAAAACCCTCCCAGCATGGCAAGTCATGAGGTTGGACATTAAATACATTTAGAAAGATAAATTTCAGGGTCTTACATTAGTATGCTTCAAGCCACATTCAAAGATCAAGATTGCTAGAGGAGAAAGATTTCAAGAGCAAAGTATCACAACAGATGGGAGAAGTGACACATCCACTCTCCACAAAATGTTTATTTGATGTTTTGATGCTATGAACTTCAAAAGGAAAATTAAAAATCAAGAATAAAAAAATAAGGTCTTACTGCCATTTGTCATATTGCTTTGCCTCTCTGCCACTTAAAGGTATAGTGAATTTCCCCACCCTTTTTCTTTGGGGTTTGTCATTTTTGGCCACTAGAATTTCAGCAGGCATCAAATGTGCTTTTGCAGATGTGCTTTCACTCTTAAATTCTGATATCTCCATACAAAAACAGATCTCAAAGCCAGGCATAGTGGCGCATGCCTGTAATCCCAGCACACGGGAGGCTGAAGCAGGAGGATTGCCTTGAGTTTGAAGCCAGCCTGGGCTACGTTGTGAGTTCAAGGCCAGCCTAGACTGCATAAGTAGACCCTGTCTCAAAACAAACAAACAGATCTCAAGTGGCTCACAGACCCTGAAGGATTCAGAACTCAAGGAACAGATCTGACCTGAGTCTATGACCTGGAGCAAAGTCAAATGGAGACCAGCGGACCACACTGGCTGAACACAAGCATGTAAGAATTTCTGACATTATTTTAAGCTACTGAGTTTTGAAGTGGTATGTTACATATAACTTTGTAGGCAAATGAACTAATAGAGGCTTTTAACCTGTAATTTTTCAGAGACTTCTTTGAAGATAGGGACTTTGGAAAGTTATGGACTTTCTTCCTAATAAAGCATATACATAAATTTAAATTTTTATGTAGTTCAAAGGATTTGGTGACCCTCTAAATAGTCCATGGTAACCTGATTATTACAAAGCATATGTCTTCTCATCTCTCTCTCCTCTCTCTCTTTCTCTCTCTCTCTTTTTGTCTTTTTTAAGACAGGCTCTCACTGTGCAATTCAGACTGGCCTTGAGCTCACTATGTAGCCCAGGCTGGTCTCAAAGTTGCAACAATCCTCCTACCTCAGCCTTCCAAGTACTTGGATTACAGGCATGCACCACCACACCTGGCTCTCATATCTCTAAATAAAGATAAACTTTCCATTTCCTGAGCAAACTGGTACTTAAAATAATATGTGTGAAGAAAAAGGTATGTTTCACCTTGCAAATGACTTCTAACAAATTTTGAAGAATGTTTTCTTTTTCCCTTGATACTCACATTCAACCCATGAACAGGTCCTGCTGGTAACATCTCTGAAGCATATTTTGAAAATCTGTACCTCCCTCCTCCCTACACAGCTACCATGCTATCCTAAGCACCCATCACCTCTTACCCTGACTGTTGCAATAGCCTCTGCATTGGCCTCTCTGCCTCCTCTCTCACCTTGCTGTAATCCACTCTTTGCCCAAA